TAATTTATCTTAAATTTTGGTGCTAAATTTTCGTTCTCTATGGAACTACCTTTCTAATTGAATTGGATTAATTTCACTCACATCAATGATTTGGATAGAATATGAACAAGGCAATAAAAGAGTATCATATTCGGGGCAGCACACTGGCTTTAGGGTTTAGGACCGGTACCGGGCCCGGGCCGGTTACGGGCCTCTTGGCGAGCACTTTATACCCTTAAACCCCTGCGAACATCTGCAGGACAGACGCGCTTCCTAGACTGGGCGCGGATTGTGAGAGAAACAGAATAATGGGTTCTAGAGAGAAGGACTCAACGACGCCGCACCAGCCCCTCCTCAGCAGTCTCGTTGTACGGCCATCCGCCAGTGACGGAGGCGATGCTGGCGGAGGTCGCGTTAGCGGAAGCGATTACGAACCTGGCGAGGTACGCCGTGACCCGCCTCCGTATTCTCGTTCGGATCGGTACAACGATGAACCTGGTTCGTTGTATTTCCCTTATTCGTTATGTTTTTCTGTCTATATTTATTCGTTGCTTCTCTTTTAATACTTGCGAATCTCTTAAAATTTTTTAACTTTATGTTGTCATCGAGGCACATCTGAAACCCTAATTCAGAGGGGGGTTTTGGGTTCCATAAAGTGTATGTTGTAGAGAGCTAATTGCTTGGTAACTTGTTTTCTTTTTTCAAGAGGCAAAGCTGTTTTAAGGAGCATTTGTTTTGACTTATTGAAAACAGCTATCAGCTGTTAGCTTTAATCAAACGGGTTAGAAATTTTGAATTATAAATATCAACAATTTTCAGTTGTCGGATAATCAATTATGCTACCAGCTGTTTCGAAATTGTCAGATATCAATTATGCCATCAGCTGTCTCGAAAAAGTTAATCCAAAGAGCCTATTAGATATCTGACGGTAGTATAAATCTCATACACACCTACTATGAATAGGGGCTAAAAGCAACTAGTTTAAATCATCATAATAGTAATGTCATTTAAATGGCATTTGTGGTTCTTTTCGACTCTATAACATGGGGAGATAAAATTTTGGACTTTTGGTGTCAAATTTTTTTGTTTAACATTAAGAACCAATTTGGTGTCTATGCAGTGTAGAGTATAGGACAAACTTTATGTTTAGAAGTTTGTCATTCACTTAGGATAGCATCACCCATGCAATATTCTATTTGTTTTATTACAGTTGGCCTCTTCTTGTGATTATTCTATATTCTATCCTGAGCGAGACACTGGGTAACTGATTTGGTTCAAATGGTATTGTCCAGACGGTTTTGTACTAGGTAGTTAACAAATAAGTCTTTGCAACTTGTTTTTTCTCTTATATTGCTTATTGACATGTCAATCTACTGCCCTTATGGAGTATCGAGCTGCAAATAAATTCTGCTGTTTATGTTACAGCTAGGAAAGTTGCCTGCAAGAACTTGGGTCTTGAGGAAGGCATGGTTGGTCTGAGTGTGCTGGATCATGGTTTTGGGAATTTTTTTTTATCTTAGGGATATATATTTTTTTGGGCAAAATTTCATTTGGGTATGGGCATGGTAAATGGATTTTTGGTGCTGTATTGGAAAAGACAACTTTTTGTGACTCATTTGGTTGGGAGGCCTTTGATTGATTGCAAACTTGGAAGGGTGTGAGGATGGTGAATCCTGGTTTTGGTTCAAAAGAAATATGATATCTAGTTTGGAATTCAATTTCCAATGCCACTTTAAGAGGCTTGGCATTGTGTACTTCAAGGTTGTCAAATATCATGGTTAAAGGAATTTGTGATAGAAGCATCAGGTGCAGTTGTAAAGGTCAGGCTGTTACCTAAATGGTATGGTGCTATGGTTGCCTGGAGAACACTAGTATGGTTGAGTGCTACAGGGTCTGCCTTGGTGGACCACAACATGGTCACAAGGATCTTTTTTTGGTTGATGGGAATTGCAGACTATATCTTTTGCTTCTTCTTTTTTTTTTTATTTTGTTAATTTATGGGCCATGGTTAATTACTGGATTTCTTGGTAACTGATGAATTCTGTTGGAGGTTGTGGTTTATAATTATATTTCATGGGAATGCCACAGTCTGAATGTGTTATTCTTTTCTTTTCCTTTTTTTCTGGGGGTGGTTAGATAGTTCAAAGTAGATAATTATGGTAATGTGGTGATTTTTCTTCTGTGGGACAAATCTGCTGTTAATTTATTCATATTTGATGGGTAGCTAGGCTGGTATGGAATATTGTTCAGGATCTGGTAACCTCCCAGATGATTGTGGTCAATTCATACTTTCAATATAAATATCTTTTAGTGAAAGAAGCTTTGCCACTGTTCACAGCGTGTTGAATCGTTCACTTGGAAATGGATATTCCTTTCTGGTTTATGCACACTGTGTTTAGCCTAAAGGTAACGAACTCAGGTTTGGGCTCAGAAGTGACCTTCCTGGGATTCTGGTTGAAACTTTTCAAACAGAAGGATGAGGTTGGTTTCTCAAAAAGAGTGGTTAATTGATGGTGGGCGATCTTTTTGGGATTAGTTGGCTATTTGCACATGAGTGGGTATCCTGGTGGTTCATTTGTGGTAGGTTTGCTTGGTTGATCCAAAACATTGCTCTTTACCAGTCACATTTGAAGAAAGATTTTGGGATAAACTTGTTATGGTTTCAGGTTTTTTGTGGATCAGTATTTATAACATCCTTCATTTAAATTATCTGCACAGCTGAGGTGGAATGATTTTCTTCCCATGCCTACCTCATGGCAACGTCCTTGGTTGGTTGAGATTCATGGTTTTGTGGTTGATAGTTGATAGTTCAGACATTTAGGTGGAAATATGTTTTAAAGCATGGCATGGATTGCAAGTTAGATGGATTTGATGTTTGAATCTAGGAAAATATGGCTTGTTTCCTCATTGAGGACTGTAGCAGTGATAAAATGTTGCAAGTACAGGTAGTACCTGTGGTTTCACCTGCTCGTTGCTTCAGTATATTGGTAAAATGGTGTCTTTGAAGAGTAACAAGGACAATTATGATGTGAAAAATTAGTACTTTCTTTCCTTCTATTCTGTCATTTTCTTTCTATGCTCCCATGGTGAGGAGATCTTTGATGATGGTAACTCTTCTTGCAAACTTATTGATTTGGTCAATTGGCAGTTTTATGGGCAACAAGATTTCCTACTAATAATTATTTGATGTTGTACTTTTTTCCTTATTTGCTTACCTGTAGACAACATTCCCTTTTTCCAGGATATAGAATTCGTGCAGGTTCTAGTTCTCCTGTACGACGTAGGGATGCAGATAACCGCCACAGTTCTGATTTTGATCGTGTTGGTGGTCCACGGAGCCGTGAATTTGGTAATGGGAGGGATTCTGGAAGACATAGAGACTCTTCACCTCATCATGGTCGAGGACCTGGTGGTAGGGCAGCTGGTAGAGGTTTTGATGGCCCTGGATTTCGTCCTGGGCCTTTCAAAGGTGAAGGCATGGGTAGAAATAATCCCAATGTGCAACCGAGGGAAGGTGACTGGATCTGCTCAGATCCTCTGTAAGTCTTATAACTTGTTTCATGCTGCATATTTTCCTTTTTGTATTCCCCTTTTAGATATTTTGCTGTCCTGCTTTTCAAAAAAAAAAAAAAGAAGGATATTTGCTGTCCCCCTTTGTATATTACATGTATTCTTGATAGTCTTCTTGTTTCCCAGTTTATGTGGCTTTCTGTGAATCAAGTTCATCATAACAATTTAGTGCCTTTGAGGAATTGATCCTCTGAAGTCATTGAGCAAAGTTCAGAATTTAGTGGTTTTTCTTTTTCTTTTTTCTTTTTT